GTCCATTCCACCATGTAAGGGAGGTTTTTATGTGGCTGGACATGATAAGGTTCTTGCTCAGTGGGTGGAGGTGAGGTCGGTATATTGTGCACAGCCACAGTTGCAGTGGTCTCATTCGTAGCCTGGCATATTGAACTACAAAGGTGGCTGCTGACATGTGCCCTAGTATTTGCATGCAAGATCATGCGCTTATTCTTGGAGTCCATTCCACCATGTAAGGGAGGTTTTTATGTGGCTGGACATGATAAGGTTCTTGCTCAGTGGGTGGAGGTGAGGTCGGTATATTGTGCACAGCCACAGTTGCAGTGGTCTCATTCGTAGCCTGGCATATTGAACTACAAAGGTGGCTGCTGACATGTGCCCTAGTATTTGCATGCAAGATCATGCGCTTATTCTTGGACATGATTGTGCTGTCTGTATGATCTGTTTGAGAGACAGCCATCTGTTGTGAGGTAGGAATGCCCTGGCTTTTGTGCAGTCCAAGTATGCCCCTATGAACTCCAGAGTCTGTGAAGAGGCGAATATGCACTTTGCCGTATTGAGCATCGGGCCCAGCTCACCAAAGAGGGCTGTGGCCGTGGAGACAGCCTGCTGCGTCTCTTGTTGAGTAGGTCCAGTTATGAGGCAGTCGTTGAGGTAAGGGAATATTGTAACATTGTTCTTGCATAACTGGGTGGCCACAACTGCCAGGACTTTTGAGAAGATTCTTGGAGCTGTGGAGAGTCCAAAAGGTAGCACCCTGTATTGGAAGTGTTTGTGTCTTATTGTGAAGTGGAGGAATCTTCTGTGTGATGGGTGGATTGCGATGTGGAAATATGCGTCTTGGAGGTCAAGGGTAGACATCCATGCTCCTTTTTCCAGGGTAGGAATAATTGTAGCCAGAGTAACCATCTTGAAGTGTTGGTATTAGACATATCGATTGAGTTTTCGCAGGTCTAGTACTGGTCTTCATCCCCGATTTTTTGGTCTTGAGAAAATAATGGGAGTAAAAACCCCTTCCCCTGTGCTGTTTGGGGACCTCTTCTATGGCTCCTATTGCCATGAGGCGTTCTGCCTCTTGTAAGAATAAGGTCTCGTGAGAGGGGTCCCTGAAGAGGGAGGGAGAGGAGGAGTGGGAAGGAGGAATGTATGTAAAGGGGATGCAGTAACCGTCTCTTATGATTTCCAACACCCACTTGTCGGTGATGATTTCCTGCCAAGATGGATAAAAATTGGCTAGTCTGTTGCCAAATGATGGAGATGGCTTTATTTGCTGCCCTAGAGAAACGGGTGATGTCAGACCCTCAACCAGACCTTAAAATTTGCTGTCTGGTTGTCATGGGTTGTTGATTGGATGATTGCCTGCGTTTGTTTTGTCTTTGTCTGCGTCTGTTATTGAAGTGTCTTTGTTGCTGGTTGAAGGATGTAGCTCTGTATCTTTGTTGAAAAGACCTATTCTGTTTTCTTCTCACTGTAGGTACTTGGATTCCTAATGTTCTCAGTGTAGCCCTGGAATCCTTCAAGGTGTGAAGAGAAGTATTTGTGGCCTCTGCAAATAGCTTTGAGCCTTCAAATAGGAGGTCCTCTAGCGTGTTCTGGACTTCTCTGGGAAAACCTGTCTGTTGCAGCCATGACGCCCTTCTCATAACTACTGCAGAAGCAAGGGATCTAAATGCGCTGTCCGCGGAATCCAGTGTGGCTTGCAGTGCTGTGTGCACTATAAGCGTGCCTTCTTTAACATTTGCTTTAAATTGTTCCAATTTAGTGTCTGGAATGTCTTCAATAAACAATGACATTTGGTCAAAAATGTGATAAGTGTAATTTGCTAATAGGGCTGTGTAATTAGCAATTCTCATCTGCAGGCTTGTGGAGGAATAAGCCTTTTTCCCCTATCACATCCAGTCTCTTCCAGTCTTTGTCATTGGGGGCTAGGCGCAGGTTTTGTTTTGTAGCCCATATCACCTTTGCCAGGTCCATTAGCACCTCACTCATTGGGATGGCCAGTTTTGAATATGCTGCTGCTTGTAGGATATTCGTGAGCTTGTGTTGGGTTTGAGGTGTGTCTGAGAGTGTGACGTTTAGTGTTTCTATCACTCTCCTGAATAGATCTTGAAAAGACCTACTATCATCACCTCCTGTGGCTAATGAACCTGTTATTGTGTCTTCAGGGCCCTTGTCGGTAGCTTGCTCTTGTGGGGATGAGGGGAAACTGCCTGCCTCATCTGTAGTGTATCCTTCCTGGTCATCTGGGTTTGGGATGTAATGTGAAGAGCTTATTGGCAAAGTCTGTGCCCGAGCTGTCACTGATTGAGGCTGTGGCTGCATGCATTGTTGCTGCCTGTAAAAAGCCCTGAGTGCCTCCTGTGTTCAGTGCTAGCTAATCTCTGGAGTGGAACTGGTTGAGGGAAATTGCCAGCGTTTGGTACGGCGTGCTGAGGCAGCTTTTTTCGCGCCCTCTGGCGGGGGGGGCTGGTACCTGAGGAACAGGACACGTCACATCTCAACCCTCGCTGAACAACACCCCATCCCACCCGGGAAGCTGGCACCCACCTGCCCAGGACCAGAGCAGCCGGGGCAGGGACCCGAAAGCCTGGCCACCCCGCGCAGGGAGCATCAACACTGCCATAAGGTAGCTACCTGAAAGCGCAGGACCCTGCTCGGGGCCTCTCTGCTCTGCAACCGAGATCCTCTGCCGGGCGCTGCCCTGCCCACTTCCTGCAGCACCTAGCTCAGAGGCGGGGCCTTGATCCCAGCACTTCTCCTCCCCCCGCGGGATGGGAGGCGGGGAAGCTATGTGGCTCTGGTCACAGCAAGCAGCTGCCAGGGGAGGGGCTGCCTCCCATTAGCGAGTAGCTAATTGAGGGGCCTGAGAGGAGGGGTCAGACCCAGCCACACTTCACAAGGAGACTTTCCTCGCTCAGCCCCCTAGATGAAGCAGCTGAACCGGCCAGCGGTTTAAGCCAAGTGCCCCACCAAATCCCTGTCCCGCAAACAGAATCAGGCACTAACAGGAACGTGTTCAAAACTTTATTAGCATAACGAGGCAATCACCTGAACACCCCTTTCTGATCAGCAGAGCAGGCTTGACCAAGGCCAGGATCGCTTCAGCCCACTGCTAAAAGAATAGCAAACCAAGGCCATCTCCCCTGACGCCCACTGCAGAAGTCTACGTAGGCTGCTCTGCCACTTCTAAACGGGCTCAGCTCAGCCCACAAACCCTCCTATCCCAAACCAGCCATTTCAAACTAGAAGCCACCCCGTTTCACTTGACATTCTTCTACACAGGGACTGGGTATGGGGGTCTTAGCATCCCTACATCTAACACCATCAGCCCTCTGAAAGGGGATATTAATTCCACCCCTCCAGTCAGCTCAGGTCTGAACCCAAACTGCAAGGAGTCAGCTGTAAACCAAGCTGCGTGCTATTTGCATGAGGATCAGGCACACCCCTGCCCCAGGCAAGCGAGGAAGAAGCCTGCAAACTTTCACACCTGTACGCTACCTCTCACCTCTCCTTAGGCAGCAGGTCTTCTAGAAGGATCAGAGCAGATCTGGAGAGGAGGTTGCAATAGCCTTGTGGCTGGGTCTAAGCACTAGCGGCAGCAGAGCCGAGTCCTTGTGGCCTTCCGGAAGCCTGGGAAGAAAGAAAGGATTTGTAAGAAAACTCCTCCCCATGGTCTGTAAGAAGGGCCAGCTTCCACCTACCACCAAATACTGATGCTTTTTTGCCCCATCCTCCAGGAGACCCCACCCACCCAAACTGAGCAAGCAGCCTCTTCACAGGAGAAAGCCGCGTGTCCCGGAGCTTGAGGATAGAACCAGCAGATGGGTAAGCCACTGGCACCGAAGACAGAACACCGGAGGGATGGATCCCCATCATCTGCCTCCAGAACATCACAGAGCCGGGCACCGTACCACCCGGATCTGCCAAGAATAGGAGGCACCATCCTAGTTCCCCTCCCCCCCCCCCGAGATTGCTGCTCCCCGATGTCAAACCACCGCCAGTTGCCTCAGTTCCGACCCCAGACTAATCACTGTTCCCACTATGGCACCCTATTTTACACACAAAATTACCTGTCAAAGAACAGGCCACGCACCTCCCCAGGTGGCTGCTTATAAGGCAGGGGCGTGGTTTAACACATCTTCATTGTGACTGGCCAGCCGGTCTCCCAATCAGGGACTTG